CAAAGATTTGATAGTGTCTTGTTTACCAATATTTGATAGTGTCTTGTAGTGTTAGTATTACATATCAACATTTGATAATGACTTGTAATGTTACTAAACATTTCAACATTTGATAGTGTCCTGTATACAAAGATTTGATAGTGTCTTGTTTACCAATATTTGATAGTGTCTTGTAGTGTTAGTATTACATATCAACATTTGATAATGACTTGTAATGTTACTAAACATTTCAACATTTGATAGTGTCCTGTATACAAAGATTTGATAGTGTCTTGTTTACCAATATTTGATAGTACCTTGTAAACCTTTTTTGATAGTGTCTTTTAATGTTACTATAACAACCTATCTCTATATGACCTTGGCTGTTGCTAGGAAGTTTAATACTTGCCAACTTTTTAAAACTTCCACGGGGGATATTCTGCATTCTAAAAATTAAAACATAGATAAAGTGTGTCTATATACCCCCTAGAGACAAAATCACCCTTGAAAATTACATATCTTAAGTTGTACTTTAAGATGAAATAACTAGATCTTAGAATGTTGGAATATTTTAGCAAATTCACTGTTTGATAATACTAAATATAAGGATCCACAATCGGGAGTCTCCCTCCTAAAATGGGAGAGTTGGCAAGTATTATAAGTTAAACAAAACTATTGTATCACGATTTGAAAATGTCTTGCATTATTAGTACTACTGTAACTAATATCTGACAGTGTCTTGACATTCTGCCATTACTGATCTAAAGATTAGCAGGAAAACATTTCTTGAATAAAACAGTGCCGTCACTGAAAATTTTGCAGAATTTTAATTGACTTCCCTTGGAAACATTTTGTTTGTAGGTGTAGTGTCTGGAGCCAAGCTTTAGCTGGAAGCAAAGAATCTGTCGATTATTTCAGAGATTGCGAAGACAGATATCAGCAACTTGATCCAGAGGGTTTTAGATTTTCTTTTTTATTGTGTTACAGCATCCACCAAAATATCCCCAAGGCAGTCTGTAGTGTCGAAGTATTAGCGGTTATCCAGTTCAACTAATATACTTTGTACCTAGTAATCTACAAACAGGCCATGATTTAAGTTCAAGACATTAGCGTGTTTTATATACATACAAGTTTATGCCAATCCTGGTGAAATGACATAAAATCAGAAAATTTATCAATTTAATATAGGCCATTATCTGGAACCTTATTAAGTGCCATTGAAGGTTGTCTTGCCATACTTAGTGTTTTTAAGAAACATATGAATAAAATGATGAGATGAAAAAAAAAAAAGACAAAACAACAACTGTATTCTGAGATCCCCATGGCACCCTATAACCTTGTATACCATTACTGAGTATATAGAGATGAATACACATGTTTTCAGGACGGCTCCAAGGTCTTGCCCTGGCCCTGGAAACTTAGTCCCTAGGTCATAACTTTGAAACACTGTAGAGATGCCAACCTAATAACCATATGTACAAATGCTTGGCATAAAGAGATAAACATAATCATATTAGAATTGACCCTGGGGTCTGACCCCACTCCTAGGGACTTAATTCCTTGACCTTGATATTGAAATAGTTGTGATCCTAATTACCCTTTAACCATATATACTATTGCTGGGCATAACGATCCAGGTGAGAGGTACAGGCCCTCTTGGCCTCTTGATTAATATATATTTGTATGGGTTGCTCAAAATTTTGATGCTAGAAAGTTTCTACATGCAATATATTCCAGCTATAACTCCTGAAAGTGTCATCTTTACCACAGTAAAGTAATATACAAAATTATGTCTTCACTATAGTGATGATTGAAAGTTGAATGTAACATGACAATACAAAAGCTACATGATTGTGGTAACCAATTAGATGTCCCTAAAAACATCATTTGTAATTATGTGACTTTCAATCTCTAGCTGTTTTAGGAAATGTAGTTAACAGAATGGTTTCATAATATCTTTCACTTGTGTTTGGGACATTCTAGGACCAAACTTGAAGGCCTGGACTGAGTCTAAATGGATCATTGGGCTATTTTGTCCATGATTCACTTCACAATATCTTGTTGAATATATTGAAAATATTTCTCTTTTTCTGTTGTAGCTTGAAGATATCCACCGCCATCCATGGGTCCTGGCGTAAGTTACACTGGCTACTTGGCCTACTTTCATTTTACTATCAGATTACATTATCAAAACAGAAAGTAAGTGTAACATACCAAAACTTACTACTTCTAGTATTGGTTGTTGAGACATCTGCAAGTATAATTTTTTAAATCTACATTGAAGAATTTGTTATATTAATTGTGAATGTAACATGTGCCAATAAAAAACTTATTAATTCAAATTATGGAAATAGATGAAATGAAAAGAGCAATTGCAAAATTTTGACTGTATTAGAATTAATCACAGTTACAGGCAGGTCAAAGCATAATTTTATTTTATTTCAATGATGTTTCTTTTTTATCATATTTATTAATTGTGTTAATTTTTAATTGAATTAAGATTATAACTTTTTGTGGATTGTATCTGCATGTAAGTTTCAACTTTAAAAAGGTTCTGGAAATCATAACTGAGTGTAACTAATGTTCTCATCATATCTCATTAGGCATTTTAACATAAATGAAATAATTGAGAAAAAAAATTTGTTCAAATTCATAGTATTTGTTCTCATCATATCTCATTAGGGATTTTAATATAAATGAAATAATTGAGAGAAAAAAAATTGTTCAAATTCATAGTAATTGTTCTCATCATATCTCATTAGGCATTTTAACATAAATGAAATAATTGAGAGAAAAAAAATTGTTCAAATTCATAGTAATTGTTCTCATCATATCTCATTAGGCATTTTAACATAAATGAAATAATTGAAAAAAAGAAATTGTTCAAATTCGTAGCATTTTATGTAGAATGAAGTAAACATGGGAGATAATCCCACATAATAATCTGGGTTATATCCCTTGCCTCATGCAGTTACACAATTCTACTTTTAATATAGTGTATATATGTACAACATCAAGAGTATTTAAATGATATATTAAGAGAAACTATTTACCGTATCTTGATATAATCACAGCTTTACTATACACACTATCCAATGTGTTGAAATGAAATGATGTGCTGTTGATTGATATTTTAGGGGCACTAAACATGATTATGAACTAGAATTACCTGTGATGCAAGTTGTACAGGTAATCTATAAATATGTGTTTTAGTATCCATACCCATGGGTGCTCACTTCAGTTATAACATATTCATATATACTGTCAGGCCACTGGAAAATTGGGTTCACAAAATAGTATCTGCATCTTCAAAACAAAAATGTTTTCAACATTTTTGCTATCCTGGAAAACAATATTTGCTCATTGTATTTTAAACTGAAAGCAAACAGTTTGGAACATTATGGCTTGAATACCTCTTTTTGGAAAAGAAGGAGGAATATTTATAATCTAGTGGATAAAAAACAGTTTTCCAGTAGCTGTCCGACAGACCAGTAGTAACAGAATTCTATCATGACTAACGGCAGCCATGTTGGATTCTTGTTTGGTATTTTCGTACAATTTATTTGTTGAATTACTGTAATTATGTCCATTTATTAGACTGTTGGAATGGTTTTTAACTACAACTTGCAAAAAGTAATTGTCACTAATCGGAATTAATTGTTGTGATCATGATGTTTAAGAGCAAAATGTGTTAGTAATATTTGCATTCAACATAAAATGTAATACATTTATGTGAAATCTAACTACTGAACGGAATTCATCAAAGTAATTCAATTTAAAAACTTTTTTCTTTCAAGAATGTATTCATAAGTCTAGATTGAGGTCATTGGTGTGACTTTTGACCTCAATCTTTGACCTTAACCTTTGACCTGAACAGTTTTAGATATGAACCATTCCAGTAGAAAACCCTCCCCATGTGTTCACAGCTGTGTGGTACTAGTCTGTGACTATATAATCAATTCTTATTTGTATTATTTTCTTTTTTTGTTGATATTTTAGGGATATTCAGGGCCATTTAGAGTTAGAATTACCTGTTGCCCAAATTGTACAGGTATGGGTATACATCATTGTCTATATTGCATTTATTACCATAAACCTGCATTTTGGAATGTTTAACGTTTTCTGCCAATTTGCTCTGTGCCTCCTCTACTGAGATGCTTTACAAAAGTTGAGATTCAATTTTGCAAAACGATAAAGATCCTGCAATTTATTCGTCATTGTAGGCGGTTGTAATTATAGAAATTGGTAGCCATTAAAACTACCTCAAAGCCATTACCTACAGCATGTATAATATGTTAGCTTCACCAACATCAACAGAGAGTTCATATTTCACTCTATTTGCATTTAAGTATCAACAGTAGAACAAATTGATTAAAAAAAGGAAATAATTACTCCCTTTCAATATTTTTCAAACATGATAAAATGTAATGCAAGATTCACCTAAAAGTAAGCAAGCTGTTATAAAAAAAAAAAAAATGAATCTCGGCTGCTGAAGCTGATCCTCTTTTCTAAATTTGACTGAATGTTCCTAAACCATTGCACTTCTAGGAATTAAATATTCACTGAAGGAAGGGAAACAACTCTCATTGACATATTTTTTTTATAATTTTCACTGAATTTCATGTTTTCATTACTCTCAATTCTAAAAATCTACAACTTATAGGCAATATTTAATCTACTTTACTTTATTCTGAAATAAAGAGATTCTTTTACATATTTTCTCCTGCTACATATATCTCTTCTCTACAATTTCTATTCGCCGCTGTCTTCATATAACCATTGATATTGTACCCGAAAACCCCCCAAAATAAACCAACATTCTTATTTGCGGGAGTGAGTTATAGAAGAACACTGCTATTATACCCGAAGTCACCAATTATCACACCCTCCAAAGAAGAGCATGCTTGTGTTTTGTCTTTTATTGTGCAAGCTTTGTTAATTCATAAGTGTTAATGTTTGCATGTTAAGCACTCATCAATATCCATCACTACAGATAACTTCGGTGTATACATCTGGACAGCCAGTGTACAGCCATATTCCGTCTTTGCGTATTGCAGAGTTATCTTCAATTGTGAGCAGGTATTGATTGTTATGTCATTGGTTTGTGTGAGAAAATTATGTCGTTTTCTCAAAAATTGATGACATTACTCTAACAAACAAATGACATTACTCTCACAAACAAATGACGTAACAATCAATACCTGATCACATGAGAAGATAACTCTGCAATAAGCAAATACGGAATACACAATCCTGTACATATTCTAATACCTCCAACCCGTCCTATTCCAAGATATGTTCCCTGCCCCTGAACTACTGACTTTCTGTCTGCTCCAGCCTACCAATCTCTTACTGATCTTTGCTCCACACTACCAACTCCTTGACATCTCTCTATTCCTTATCCTACCAAATCCAATGCTGCTCAGAGCTTGATCCAGCCTTCCAGCACCCTCACACTTCTCTATTCCTTATCCTACCAAATCCAATGCTGCTCAGAGCTTGATCCAGCCTTCCAGCACCCTCACACTTCTCTGTTCCTTATCCTACCGAATCCAAGGCTGCTCAGAGCTTGGTTCAGCCTTACAGCACCCTCACACTTCTCTGTTCCTTATGCTACCGAATCCAAGGCTGCTCAGAGCTTGGTCCAGCCTTTCAGCACCCTGACACTTCTCTTTTCCCTATCCTACCGAATCCAAGGCTGTTCAGACCTTGGTCCAGCCTTCCAGCACCCTCACACTTCTCTGTTCCCTATCCTACCGAATCCAAATCTGCTCAGAGCTTGGTCCAGCCTTCCAGCACCCTGACACTTCTTCCAGCTCCAAACTATGAACTCTTAGATTGCTAAATAATCCAGCCTAACAACTTCTTGACTGTTCCCTTCTCCAACCTACCAACTGCTTGATTAATCTCGTCTCCACATTGTTCTGGAGATCAAATAATGTATGTGTCACATGAATTCAATTTACTTACATGGAATTTGGAATGCTTCACACTTTCATATATTTAATATGTGTGTTTAACTTTCTTATTTAAAATGGCTATTGTCCAGGTTTTTTCTTATACTTTTATTGTCTACTTTGAAATCAGATATTTTTGTGGTTTCCCGACAAAATACCATTTCGTGGATACTTGAGTTCGTGGATTACGAGTACCAACTCATACAGAGAATTGCTTTATATCCAACTTGTAATTACTTTAACTTGTGGACCTATGAATCCATGGCTGATTACTACCCACAAAATCAACAAAATTTAAAACCCCACCAAAACAATTGATTTCACAGTATGTTAATTATTTTGAAAGTTCTGTTATTTTATAAATAAGTGCCCTAATGCCTTGTTAAGATAAATATTTTAATACACCATTTAAGATTGTTTCCATTTTGAGGTAATTTGACTATTTCACTGTGATGCATTGATATGTGTGACCTTGATAGAGGTCATAACCCCATTGACCTATAACCTTTCTACCCTTGGTTACAGACCTCTATTATCCCCACCATAGCTGACCTAGACCCCGATGTCCTGTCCACCATGAACTCACTGCAATGTTTTAAAGATAAAGACAAATTAGTGGAAGAATTGCTGAATTCCAAGTAAGTAACCATGACATTTCCAGTGCAGCAACAAAATTGAGTCAAATCTAGATATACCGTAGAAGTGTTACCTGATAAGAGGTTCTATCGCCAGTGGCAGATTGTTAGTTATAAACTGAATGATATTGTACATTGCTGCCAACTAATACTACCATTCAATAGGGAGGAAGACTCCATTGATTCAACTCAAATTTACAAAACACCCTCTGAAATTATTTTGTGCATATTTCAGGATCCCTGTTTTCATTCAATTGTTTGAACCTTGGTTGTATTGTGTATCCAAATAAACAGCTTGCTTTAATTCGGTATTGCTGGTTTATCTTTACCAACAGCTGTTAATCTGAACCATTTATAAAGTTTCTGGTGGGTTTGAATGATCCGCTCTCCTCTGTACCTGTATTGGAGTAGAAACAATCCTTTCATAGGAATCATTATCACAAAACAAAAATCAGACTTCCTACTTTTGTTGAATATAATGGTTGATTTTTGTTCTTTTCTTCATTTTCAGACATAATACAGAAAAGGTTGTGTATTTTTTGCTATTAGATAGAAAATTACGGAACCCTAGTGTAGAGGATGAATTGGATATACGAACGCGGTCCGAGTCCGGTAAGTTAGCTGGTAAGTCACCCACGGTTTTAATATACCTCTGTTTAGATGTTACACAGTCACAAAGGTAAGACAATACAAACGTCTTATGTAAATGAAACAAGAGGTGAGTATTTGATAAGCACAACAAAAATAACCTGCTCCATAATGTCGATCTAGACAACAAACTCTAAGGATATTCTGTTGTAAAATTGAAAGTTGATACTTTGTATCTACTTATTTGCAAATGGCTTTCATTCTCTAAATCAATGTATTTTAGTGAGATATATATGATACTTTTTGCATTAAATTGTAATGAGACTCATTCTTGTATTCAGACGTTTTGCAAATTTTACTTAAAGAGGTCATTTCTTTCAACTTTGAAATAGCATCCTCTAAATGTTGCTCAGATGTTGGTTTGTTGACGAAGTAAGCTAAATGAATAATAATAGGTATTGCCCTGTCAGGGTTGTATGCTACGAAATAAATTGTACTCGTATGTGTGAGGTACCTCCCTTTGAACTTTCAATTATTTTTATTTTATTAGTGAGTATTATCAATGTCTCATACATTAGTTACCAACATTAGTTACCAACAAATCGTTTGAAAATAATGATTAAAAAAAGAAGTTCAAGGGAGATAACTTTCAACAGTTTGCATTCCCATGTACCTTTCAATTCATTAATCAGCCAAATCCAAATAAACTTTTATAGAGAATATTTTTATAGATTTCTTAATATGGAATTCTCTTGCAAAGATGATGAGGTAGCTTGTATCCTTAACACATACATTTGCACAATGTTTCGCATATCTCTGTCTCACACATTGAGCTACACCTGTTCTACTTTACAGCGGATCCCCCAAGGAAGAGAGTGGATGCTGTCCAGCTTAACGGTCAGCCGGGGTAGGTGTACTTCATATTGTCATTACAAAACAAGTCATGATTTAACTGTCTTAATCCTTTCACCACTGTAGACCATAATGAACTCATCCAGATCAATGCATACTGAAGTTACATAGGGGTGAAAGGGTTAACTTATGTAGTGTGCAGTCTGCATTGTCCTAGTTGTACAAAGTATTGTACTAATGAATGAGATGCTTTAACCCTTTCACCCCTATGCAACTTTAGTGGATTCTCCCATGCATTGATCTGGATAAGTCTGTTATGGTCTACAGTGGTGAAAGGGTTAAGTGAACTAATGAGTAGATAAAGACTAAATATTGTAAAAAAGGACTAATGATCAACATTACCATCTAACATACTAAAAACAGAAAAACCGGTGTGTCAAGTTTTGTTTCAGATACATATTTGTGCTGCGATATGATATATGGTTTTCTAGAAAAAAAATGCTGAGTTAAACTTGGAATGATTTTTACTTTATGAAATGTTTCTTGATACAACTCAGAATTACAGAATATGTGTACTTTGAGATAAATTGGCCAAACTGCCTGTAACATAACCCTGATACACATCTGTGATATTATCTTGTATTATCTTGTATCCAAAATTAAGCAGTCATATATCACAATCCATAAGGTGGCAGGTGATTTGCTTCCTTTTTTTACCAAGGGGGATGTCTTTAGCTAGGGGAATGCGCATGCTTGCCAATTGGTTTTTGTAAACTGCAAACCTACTCTTGAGTGATTGAAGATCAAGTATTCGACAAATAACATAAACACAAAGAAAATATCACAATTCCAATGTTTTTTGGTGTTTTAAGATTTTCTCGATTTCTCCAATTTACTGTACAAAGTTTTTCTAATTTCCGTGAATATGGCTTCAACACCTATACAATTGATAAAGAAAATCACTGTGTCTGCTTTTACTCAACAATGAAAATCATAGAAATTAATACAGCTGCAAAGTCAACTGAGTTTATGTAATGATTAAATAGTTGAGAATCCCCATACCACTGCCAAAAACTGACTGGCATGACTAAATCTTTGATAAATCATTTCTGAAAAGAAACACATTTCTTGGAGGATTTTTATGAGAAATAATAAAGGTGAAATGAATAAGATATAATCAACAACAGTGTTCTGAGTGTAAAAAATCAGTGGGGCTAGAACCGGATTTGAAACTGGGACTTAAGATTGTTAACTGATTGAGCTAGCTGGTCAATAATAGTGTCCAAGCCTAACTGTGCTATATCCAAACCGAAGTTAAGGGGAGGTAACTGTTTATAGGAAAAACCTCAATGCAGTGGGTCAGGAGTTCTTAATTGATTACTAACATACTAACCTGACTAACCATGCTTGCTTTAGCAGGATATCCCTAGGAAGTATTAGTGAAGGCTCGCCAGTAGCGTCACGTAGAGCCCTGGCGGTTCAGCAAGTGTAAGTTACCATGACAACCTGTTCACAACAAAAAAAGTCATGGTTCAGGTTCCTATTTCCCTCATTTTGTTTATCTTTTAGTACTTTTTAGTCATTGTACAAACGTTACATTTGTCTAGTTTCTAATAATAACATATTTACATATTAGAACAATTTATTTACGTATGAGAACTTGTGTATACCACATTTCCCCGAATAAGTGTTCCACCTTTTTTATGCACTTTTTGCACTTTTTCTGATCTGAGCACCCTTTCCTTTCACAAGTATTCACCAACTTAGTTAAAAAATGTGTCTTTCATGATTATTTTAGTTTAAGAATCTTGGAAGCTACTTTTCTCAATTTTAGCTCACCTGGCCCTTGGCCAGGTGAGCTAATGCCGTACTGCGGCGTACGTCGTTCGTCCGTCCATCTGTCCTGTTCATCAACGTTTTCTTTGAGCGACTTCTTCTAAACAACTTGAGGGCCTAGAGTTATGATATTTGGCCAGTAGGTACCTGGGATCAAGTGCTATAAAGTTCCCTCATTAAAATGACCTTGACCTACTTACAAGGTCACAGAGGTCAAATATGTAAAATAAAACTTTAACAATCTTTTTCTCAAGTTCCATAAGGCATAGGGTCATGATATTTTGCCAGTAGGTACCTGGGATGGAGTGCTATTGAGTTTCCTCATTAAAATGACCTTGACCTACTTATAATGTCAAAGGGGTCAAATATGTTAAAAACTTTAACAGTCTTCTTCTCAAGTTCCATAAGAGCCAGGGACATAATAATATGCCAGTAGATACCTGGGATCGAGTGCTATACAGTTCACTTTTCAAAATGACCTTGACCTACTTTCAAATATGTCGAACACTTCAAACCACTTCTCCTGAAGAACTAAAAGGTATGGAATCTTCATATTTGGCTGATGGCTTTCTTGGATGGAGCCCGACAAAGTGACTAAAAGGACCTTGACCTTTTTTCAAGGTCACAGGGGTCAAATGTGTCAAACACTTCCAACGACTTCTGAAGAAGAACTGAAAGGTATACAATCTCAAATTTGGCTGGTGGCTTCCTGGGATAGAGCCCGATAAAGTTTGAGAATGAGAATGACATTGACCTACTTTCAAGCTCACATGGGTCAAATGTGTCAAACACTTCAAACGACTTCTTCTGAAGAACTAAAAGGTATAGAGTCTTTATATTTGGCTGGTGGCTTCCTGGGATAGAGCTAGACAAAGTTTGAGAATGAAAATGACTTTGACCTTCTTTCAAGGTCACAGCGGTCAAATATGTCAAACGCTTCAAACGACTTTTTCTGAAGAATTAAAAGGTATAGAATCTTTATACTTGGCTGATGGCTTCCTGGGATGGAGCCCGACAAAGTTTGAGAATGAAAATGACTTTGACCTTCTTTAAAGGTCACAGCGGTCAAATATGTCAAACGCTTCAAACGACTTCTTCTGAAGAACTAAAAGGTATAGAATCTTCATATTTGGCTGGTGGCTTCCTGGGATAGAGCCTGACAAAGTTTAAGAATGAAAATAACCTTGACCTGCTTTCAAGGTCACAGGTGTCAAATACGTCAAAAACATCAAATGACTTCTTCCCGGGATAGAGCTCACCAAAGATTGCAAATGAAAATGACCTCAACCTACTTTAAAGTTCACAGAGGTCAACAACATTTCAAACAATTCGTTCTGAAGAACCAAAAGGAATGGATTCATAAGATTTGGCTGGTAGCTTTTTGGGATAGAGCTAACAAAGTTTGAGTAGGAAAATGACATTGACCTACTTACAAGTTCACAGGGAAAACTATGTCGAACAACTTCTGAAAAAACCCCAAAAAGCATAGAATCTGGAGCCGACAAAGTTTGCGAGGGAAACATTTGTAGTGCAATATAATATTTAATGAGAAAATTTTGCTATGACTGCTCAAATATTCAGGTGAGCGATACAGGCCCTCTGGGCCTCTTGTTCCAAATTGCTAAGTTCCCTGCAGGGCATTTATTAGATTGATTACTAATAACCATTTTGTATAAGAAGGCATAGGTGTACATCTGTGCTCCTTCTTATATTCATATAGATATTGAAAATTACTCGGGTATGGGAGATAACTCTTTTAAAAACATTTTATAAGCTTTTCCAGAGTTTTCATTTATTGCATAAAATGCTGACTATTTTACCCCATTTTAACTTTTATCAGAATCTGTGCTTGGAGCGATTACGTACTTTTGTGAAGTTTCATTGGTTAACTACTACAGATGAATTTGTTCACTTACTTTAATCTATAATATGCTATATCTGTTTTCTTCATTTCAGACGGAAGGCGAGTCTGACAGGCAGTCCAAGCTCCTCCCCCATCCTGAGCCCACGCCTCCCTGTGAGGGGTACCCCATCCCACAGTCCCTCAGCCACACCCCCTGGTTCCCCTAGTATACAGTCGACAGCCTGGAAGTCTCGCCTACACACCATCAAAAACAGCTTTCTCGGCTCACCGCGCTTTCACAGGCGAAAATTACAAGGTATAGCCTACACCAATGGTATAATTCTGGAGATGGATTACTTAGCAGGTGACTTTTATAAATACTCAGCACAGCCTGTCACATGGTGTTGTGTGCATTGGCTGATTGGTTAGTTGGCTGGCTGGCATGGCAACCATTTTGGTTTGGAGCGGTAGACATCTTGATTCCCTTACCTACCGACCAGTGAGAGTTAACCTGTTTTTCATATCTTTATTGCATATTTAGAGTTGTCTCCCCACTATATCACATGTTGAAATGTATAACTGTAATTATTCTATTACTAAAATTGTTTGAAATAATAATTTTCTGTTACCCAATACTATGAACTGTGTCCAGTTCCACTACAGCACCATGACAGCGATTTTTCCTTCATTTTACTTGTCACAGTGTCGTTTTAGTGGTAAAGTTTCTAAATACCGCCAAAGAAAAGAGACAACCTCTGGAAATTATAAAATTCAAACCGGAAAAATATCCAAAGTTTCATATTAAGCATTCGAGTTGTGTTTTTGAAATCTATGGGAGATTGGGCTTATTAAAGAAGGCAGACTTACAACATTAAAAAGGCTAATTCAACGAAGCAGTGAATGAAAATCTAGTAATATTGATTAATTGCAAGTGATATGTTATCAATAAACTTTTCCACAGGAAGTGAAATTCAATCAAAGGTATCAATCTATTGAGCCTTGATAATCGATCCACTTTCATTTCCAGCTGAAGTGGCTAGATTGTTTAATAAAGCAGAACAACGGATATTAATTGTGGCTGTGTTAACTCATTCACCCCTGAAATTTCATAATGAACTATTCCAACCTTTGAATTGGAGGAGTTCAAATGTGTCTTCAGGGGTGAATGAGTTAATAAGAGTAGACTTCATGTGTTGCTAGCCTCTTTTTGTTAATCTTTGAAATTGTTGTTATCTAACTGGAATGATATTATTACCATAACTAATATTAATTTTCATTTTATCATTTGTCCAGTTTAAAAGGAGACAGTGTGACTATATATTTCAGTATAGTTAATACTAACTTAGCCTTGGTACACGACTAGTTTTAGGTTGACTACCATATATACCCCATAGTCTGTGTCATATTTATCAACTGTGGTATATGGACTAATTCTGGGGAGACTACCATATATACCCCATAGTCTGTGTCATATTTATCAACTGTGGTATATGGACTAATTCTGGGGAGACTACCATATCATTTTGGAAATCTAAGGGTTTCATTCTCGATTAACATGTGTTCTCTATTCCCTTGAAAAATGTTGTGACAAAATCAAAGTCTTGCAGATAATACGAGCTGATTTGTCTGGAAAGTGTTACAATATCCTGCGTACCTGTGATCTCTTTGATGACATGTAAAAGTAGTCATGTGGCAGCACAACAGTCAAATTGACTGCCTTGATTTTTGTGTAGCTCCTTTGTAATCTTCAGAAACCAGCCTAGTGATTGGTCAGGTTTTTTAATGTCTGAAACCAATCAAAGGGCTAACAGGCTAAAGAAGAGCATTCAACTTTGTCATGATATATTCCCAGGGTGCAGAGAAGATTTGTACATCAAAGGCGATTCCCTTTGATTTAGAAGATACTACCATGTTTACTCCAAAGTTCACGTCATCATGTTAAAAGCATGTCAGTACAGTGGAATATTGTTAACCTGTAAAACTCACTCGGTGGACACAAAAATGCAGTCGAACCTGCTCATGTAACCACCTCTATCAAGGGACCACCTGTATAAAGAGGTCAGTTTTTGGACTTTCCAAGGTTGGTCTCTTTATACAGGTGTGACTTTATTCAGAATATTAACTAACAGACAGTTGAGTTTTGGTGCAGTTTCTTCAAACAAATTTTCAAACATATTCTGAACCGAAGGCATGACCTGTTGTAGGCCATTTCTGTCCTACGTCATATGTCATCTGCCATCTATTTCTATTCAAATTTCCAACTTTTTATGCAATAACTGAAAGTCAAGATATTTTATTAGTATACCATGTTTATTCAAATAAGTGACTTTGTCCCATTTAAAAGGTCACAGGGGTCAAATATATTCAAAACTTTAACCTACTTTTTCTAAAGATCCCCAATGCCTATAAGCTAGAGTAATAGTATTCTGCCTGTTTAGCTTGGTTGGTTGACTAGTTATCAAGTTTGCTCTTTTATATGACTAACATACTTCCGAGGTACAGGGGTCAATTGTGTTCAAATCTTCAAATGACTAATTTTAAGATTAAGTGATCTTAAGTAGTCATTTTTGGCTTTTAGCTTGCTTTGATAAATAGGTTTCAGAGGTCAGATGTGAAAACACATTTACAGAAACATTTAGTTTACTGATAATTTATCTGAAGCTTGCTGGGATAAAGACATAAAGTGTTATATCCTTTATCTACCTACAAGGTCAAAGGGGTGGAGTTTACCTAAAAAAACCTTCAAATTGCTTCTTCTAAAGATCCATATGACTTAATGTAAGCTTGCTGTGATGTAGGTTTTTAATTGTGTTTGAATAAATGTCCTTCAAATTTCTTTTTAGGTTACAGAGATCAAACTTATTACAACAATTAGACAATATCTTACCATGAACTATGAAACAGGTGTATTGAAATTTGATAGAAGATTCCTTTGAGTTCAGGGGAATTGCATTTGGGAAAATTGGATTTTTAACTCCCTTATTCAAATGGTGAGGGGGCACTAAAAGGGGAAATTGGACAAATGTTATGTTCAAAAAGCCTAAATGTACAGATATAAAGGCATAAGATGTTTTATCAAAAGTTTGAATGTTAATCTTATCAGTCCATCTATTTGTGGTAAAATTTTACTTTATGGAAAGTGACTATAAAGACCCATGTGACCTTGTCATTTGGATTAATGACTTTCCACTGTATCGAGTGTATCAGATTATTCAATTTTTACCAAGAGTTATCTAAGCATGGTTTTCTTCCATTTCAGCCTCTGTTAGGTTAAATGTAAATGACAAAATGTACCTGCCACTGAATTTCATTTTGTTTAATAAGATGCAATGACATTTATTGCAATGAATGAACTTTTATACAAAATAAATCCAGTTCGCCCAAGGTTGCTTTGCCCTAATTTAAATACAGTTTAAGTATTTTCAATAATTAATAAAAACTTCATGTTTCACCAATAATTATGTGTTGTCGGAAGAATTTCATGCAGGTATAGCTGCAATGTATGGGCAGATCTGATTGAACACGTACCAATCTGACAAGTCTTGTGACAAAAAATACTAAAGAAAGCCTGGAAAAACTTTCAATAAGACTGTATTAGCCATACACTACTAAACAGAACTCGAAAGTCTCGCCCTGAAAATATTTTTAGGGTGAAACAACTTGGTGCAAAATGACCTGGCACCGGAATTATAGTATCAAGTCAAGGAAACAAATGTTTTATAGCATCCAGTCAAGGGCCAAGTGAAAGTCGGACATTGTAGATGAGAAAAAGTAAAATCAGACATTGTAGATGAGGAAAAGTGAAAATCAGATATTGTAGATAAGGAAAGGTGAAAATCAGGCATTATAGATGAGGAAAAGTGAAAATCAGACATTGTAGATGAGAAAGGTGAAAATCAGACATAATAGATAAGGAAAAGTGAAAATCAGACATTGTAGATAAGGAACTATCGAACAAGGGCGAACACTTATTTGAAACTCCTAATCAAAGTTTTAAGTTGATATAAACTTAAATATAAACATAAAACTTATATTGCTCATTCTAGATAGTTAACCCTGATATGATATATATTGAAATGCTTTAAATGTTTTTTTCTTGGTGGCTAGATGAAAAGAGAGATATTTTTTTGCATGCTTGTTTCATACATAACCCCAGTCCTGTTTTGTATGTTTCCAGTGCCTACAGAAGAAAGTACATTGTCCATGACACCAGACTCTTCACCAGAGTAAGTCACCTTGACCTTTTGTTATTTGACCTTTGCTATCACCTTGGAAATCTTAACACAGACGCCCAGTGAAATTTGATTTATTTTCTATTGTCACAATCTTTACCTTGTATTACTACAGAATGAACATTTCAATAGTACAAAAATTAGCAAATCATTGTGCGTTTCTGTTAATTAAAGAATTTGAATAGTGTGCATATGACATAAGATATATGTTCCCTTGCCCTTTGTAATATAAGATGCCAATTTTCATTAATCTACAATAGATCAGGTCATTGATCTTGTCTCAATGGGATTAATTTGGTTATAATACAAGGATACCTCTGTCCATCTGTCTGTCAACAGCAAATTCTATTCATACCTAATTAGCATACCATTATTTGATTGGTCAGTATATTTTTATTAAGGAATTACCTTTAAGATCAGCAGATTTACATAAAACGTCATTAGGAGCCACAATTACTAAGCAAATGCAAAGTTAAACAAAAACTGCATCTCTATTTAGCAACAATGAGATTTGTAATTTTCTTTCAAACATATCACTTCTTTAGATATCATGAAATTCACTTAAAACTCAATCAACAACCAAATTGGACATTGTCTAAAATTAGTGCATAACTAATAAGCATGCCACTAACTAATTTGACATTCATTCCTGCATTACTTTTTACGTTTTATCACGTTGACCTTTTGTGATGTCCTTGAACTTGAGTGAGTTGATTGATTTGACCTTTCAGGATGACTAAGAAATCCTGGTTTGGGGCGCTGATGGGTGCTGATCGGGAGGAGCACCACTTTATCATGGCACAGGACAAGCAGCTGAGTCAGGTCAAGGCCGATCTCATACATGCATTCCTCTCAGTAAGTAGAGGTCAAGGCCGATCTCTTACATGATACATGCATTCCTCTCAGTAAGTAGAGGTCAAGGCCGATCTCTTACATGATACATGCATTCCTCTCAGTAAGTAGAGGTCAAGGCCGATCTCATACATACATTCCTCTCAGTAAGTAGAGGTCAAGGCCAATCTCTTACATGATACATGCATTCCTCTCAGTAAGTAGAGGTCAAGGCCAATCTCATAAATGCATCCCTTTCAGTAAATTATAAGCTAAGGTCAAAGATCACCGCATACACATATAGAGATCAAAAACCAACCACTTACAGGCCTGGACAGTCTTCATTCACATTTCTCACTTATACAGTAACTTTGACATTTCCATCTATCTGTGTGTTTGAACATTTGCAAGCACCTGAACTGAGAGTTTTGCATCTATCTGAACTAAAACTTGATTTCTCTAAAATCGAAGTCTTCATCTTCCAATTGGTAAGTTTTCAGTATGTAATGATTCTTTAATGAGGTGTAAAGCAGCCTGAAAATTTCCTTAATTTTAGGGATTTAGGGGGATTTTAGGGATCGATGCTTATTAGGCCCGTCTTTTATTTGTCTTGTTATCCAAACAGCAGTTTTGGAAAGAGTTATCCCACTTGTATGTGAAAGTGTTACAGTAATCCAGCAACTTTTGGCTGGGAAAGAAGATACAGTTAACCCTGTATTAACCCTTTCATCCCTAGGTAACTTTAGTAGACTCTACCACGCATTTCTCAGAATAAGTCGATTATGATATATGATGGTGAAAGGGTTAAGAGACTACCCTCAGGGAGTCAAAAAAGTGGTCTCTTCATAAAGGTTCTATTCACAATATAATCACTACAATGGGGAACTTCAAAAGTGTTTTTAACAAAGGAGGTCTCTTAATGGAGCTTATCACATAAACAGGTTTTAATTGAAGGCTCTATTGTAATCCTTACTCTTCAGACTGCAGACCTGTCTCACAATGTGGTATCCACGACGACCTTCCGAGCGGAATACCGACGGACAGGAAGTTCTTCCATGTTCTCAAGAAATATTAGATTCCAGGTGGACATCACACCTGCCACTCATGGAGGCGGGCCTTCCGACTGTAACATGTTCTGTCTCACATTCACCTTGATATCAGGTCAGTCTGTCATGGGTATCATTGTTAAACAAGATAAATGTAAAGGTCGAAGGTCAACACTTTATTCAACATTTTTATGTGTGAAGAAATCTTTTTAAACTTGTAAAATTTTGCCTTTTTTTAAAGAACGTTCTATACTTATAATGGAAACAAAAGCAATAAGACTGTTATTGCCATTTTGAGTTATTCAAGAACAAAACGAATCCATGATCTATTTGGTCCTAAAACCTGAAGTTAAGTTGATTGCCCTTTTTTATCATTGTAGGACCATCACGGAGATTTCGGCGAGTGTGTGAACACCTGCAGAATCTTATGCTGGGGCCAAGAGGTGACGCCCTCAACCAACGTAAAGTCAGTACAGACAGTACATCATCATACACATCAGAGACGGGCTTGTCTCCCACCCACAGCTGCTCAGCCAAGGAAAACGGGGATGACCAGGAAGTATGTGTGGGTGTTGTGCTGTGGGAAATATTGATTTTCACGGAGAAAGTGTGCCTACCATTTACAGCATCATTGGTATCTGAGGCTGCCATGTTTGTGCCCCCTTGCTCATCTGTTAAGTTGGACTGGTTCCCTTTCTGAAGACACTATTATGTTTTCTGCACTGGACACCAATAGTTCTCTTTTATGGAACATTTGCTTCTTCATCCCTGACATCTGGATTCTCAGGCCCTTATGTATTCAGACTGTCAGAAGTTCATCCTAATCTCACTCCTGATACTGGTTAGTTTGTGCCTCATTAAGCTAGACAGTATTTGAGGCTCCCAGCTTCCTGGCCAGATAGGTTGATTGGTAAGGTGTTGCTTTGCAAAGGAGCATTACTAGATGAAAGATTATTTAGGGTTTACGTCAAGCTTTTCTTTTAGAGCAAAGGTAAAACTTATGTGAAGGGAAGCAGGTGCTCTCGTGAATGCAGCAATAGATGGGGCCCTGGCTTCCGTCTCTCCATCAACATCCTTTCCTTGTTGGTACGGGGAATTATGATCTCCCCATTCCAAACTTTGGTCATTGTGCTCAGGGTGGTTTCTTGTTACATTACAAGCCTATCGCCCAGTATGGAAGTATTTTATACAGGACAATTTGACTTTGTCAATGGTCACCGAGTTTGCAGTTGATATTCTACAGTTGGGAATCATTCCTTGTTTGCAGAACCTTCTTTCTTAACATTGTTTACTGAAACGGCTTTATCACACCACAAACACGTATGGGCCAAGTTCCTATTATATGCATTTGAGTTTTCCCAAGTCTGTAATCTGAATGTCTTCTACCTTACTTCTAGACAGAGAACCGACGGAGTAGCATAGCCTCCATGAAAGAGTAAACCAGCAGAACTCATTTGTCCATGTCTCCGTTAATAGATAGGCACGGGAATACCTGTGTTTCACTTTTTGTATGCAAGGTTTCCTTTTCTAGGGCAAGCTAGGTTGTATCACATTAATACTTGTAGGTCTCGCTGAACAGTTTTTCAGGTGTTCGCTGCATTCTCAATGTTTTTATTTTTTACATTTCACTTTGATATGATTTCTCTTCTTTCACCTAGTGTTGGAATCTTTAGTGCATTTTATCTAGTAGGCTCTGAAACAATTGATTATGAGGGTTATTCGTTCGAGAGCAAAACTCTGTGGTCTCTTTATCAGGGGTTTCATTTCCTGGTAAATTGTTTCTGTGTGACTCTGTGCTTAATCCTTCCGCCAATGGTGGAGGTAAAAAGGGACAGAGCTTGCCATCTCTTTGAAAAGTGTTATTTCTTAGTCCAGTTGTTGGTTTCTCAATTTTTGGCATATGTTAACTTACTAGTTTCCTGTTTTTGTGGGATAGAAAAAGCCATGCATCTCTTGAATCAGATGAGGAAAGTATCTGCTTGGTGTTTGATTCTCATAGACTTGTCTTTTAGGAAGTTCCTTTGACCTAACCTAATTTAAGCATTATGTTGTGCATGGATATGTTCTTGATAGGCTGGAGCATGGTCCAGTGGACAGGTTGCTTAAAATGTTCTAAGAGTATCTTTGCCCGAGGCAGCATTTGGTTGTGGAGTTGTTTTAACTTTTGGTAGGAGAGCCTCCTGATTTGCGTTTCAGAGAATTTTTCGGTTTCTTGTTTGGCACCATTTGCAGATGCAATCTCGAGTCCCAGAGTTTTTTTTATGTCCAGGCAGATGCATTCACATCTGGAGATCCTCCAATTTTTTGTGGAAATTATCTCTGGAAACTTAACTCAAGCCGGCTTTTCTGGCAATGTATCTGATTGTATCACTAGATCGATTAGATCCTTACCATTGACAAAGAAACCTTTCTGATGTGTCCCTACTTACTGATCTTGCATTTGTGGCTAAGGTCTTAAGTACCAAAGCCTCTCAGATTTATTCTATGGTTGCATGCTCTTGTGGTTCCGTAGGACCAAAGTCGATGTATCTGTGACTGGGGATTTTGTTTTCTTTAATTTAGATAAAACCGAGGGGAAGGTTATCAATATGGTAATAGTGTACCTATTGAATATAACTCATGTAATTTTTTTGTTTCAGGTATTTGACAGGAGAATATCCAAAACACCCACACCCACCAGACGTGAAGTCCCACGAGTTGTTACCAATGGCAAGCGCGTGTTAGTCGACCACAATGTGCGCAAAGACAAAGTCTGACCGTGAATTTACTCTAGGACTTAAATACAATATATCTGTGCTCACACAGATCAGCAAAACTATGTAGGGCAAAGGGCAATGGTCGATTCAAGAAAAAAACTTAAGTTTTAAGGTTGAGGATCATCAAGAAATGAAGAAATCAAATTAATATGAATATCACAATTATTGCCCAATATGTACCTTTTAAAGGTTGTGGAGTGTATTTTTCACAAGGTTGGCAATGCAATGGCAAGGTAAAAATCCAAATATGGACTTTATATTAAGTTGTGAGTTCATCACCAGGTATTGCTGAAGATGGATTCTGATGGAGTATCAAGTTAAATAAGGAATTAACAATCAAGTGTATTTGAGAGAACCAACGGGAAAATCTTGCCTTAAAAAGAACCTTATTATCACTGTGAGCCCAGGCCACTTACATAGACACAGAATTGACTGATGTTTCTAGGTCATTGAACATGTTTTGAGCTTAGGTGACCATCTACTAGTGGACCAATCATGGCTCTCAGGACTCATCAAAACTAATTTGCACATTTCTTCATTGGCAATTGTGATAGTTGATGACAATTGCAAAGTTTCAATGTCAGATTCAAAGATCAACATAAATGGTTGATCTGTTGTTGAATCAATGGCTGTCACAACTCAAAGGTGCATCGTGGGGATTAGGGGGGAATAGTGTGGTGTGAAAGAGGGGCTATTTCAATCAGGAAAGGGTGTTCATAGGGAGGGGATACGTTTGGGAAGGGTCATCTCCAAAATTTCAAGGGTTCCACAAGGGTTCCACTCAAGATTTATATAACTTCTCTACACACTTTGAATATCGAAGGCTCTTGAAGCGACACCTTGCGGAAGTAGACATATTCCAAGGGTGCAAAGAAGAGCTGTTAATCGAAAGAGAAACCCTTGGATTTTAAATAGGGATCAGGGAAGGGGGACACTAAAGTGAATTGTGTGGTCTTGGAAAGGGAAAAAAGGAAAAATGTGATCTTATCGTTAAAGGGATTATTAAGTTGATTAATTTGATGATATCATGATTTAGAAGAGGAAACGGGTCGGGGGGCTAATAAACAAGGGTTTTAACTGGTCAATTTCCTTGTTGGGTTGGAGGTTATTCATGAAAGGAGTGCTGTGTTAAAATGTACGTGTCTTAGGAAGAAGGGAAGGGTTAGTTTGAGGAAGGTCTTGTCACGAGGAAGGGTTATTAAGGGAGAGTATTAGCTAATCGTAAAAGGGACTGAGAAGCCGGGGTAGGGATGGAAAAAAGGGTAATCTTTGGGAGGGGTTAAAATGTCCTGATAGGGAAAGCTTCTGAAAGGAGCTTAATATAGATTTTTTTTTAGCGAGGGATCATAGAGGGCAGGGAATATTGGTGTCGTAAGAAGAGGATCTAATGGAAATCGTTGGGATTTTGCGAGGGTGTGATAAAAGGGTTATTAGTGTATGCTATGGAAAATACATATTCATATAGAATGATTGGGACTGGAGAATTCATCCTAGTGTTGTTCACTGTAAATACCATTTTGTGTGATCTGAAATGACTGTAAATTATTTATTTGACAGATATTATAATGTGACATGTGATAGGCGTTGATAAGGTGGAAGGTATACCTATGCCAGGTACCATTGTATATACAAGACAATAGCACAGGATTTCATTAAGTAAGAGATTTTGTTAGATGTAGCTAATATATAATATATACATGCAAATTAAGAACTGATTCACAAGTGGTTCAGGTGAAATAGAAGGAAAATAGAACTATGTATTAAAACTAATAATGTTTCTTAAAAAAATCCGTATTATTTAGTGGCATTATTGTAACGACACTTAGTTTTAACAAATATTTAACTTTCTCAACTTCAACTTAACAAAACCAAATTATCATTTTGACTTAAAGTGATGAATTATTTAAGAAGGAACAATAGGGATTGTGCAATACACAAAAGTATTATATTTCCTCGTTGCTAAATATGCAATTTTATAAGTAAATGTAACTGTATGTGAGAAAGGATTGTCTGGGACGCATTGTCTTGGGAAAAGCTTCTCTTCCTGTATGTGAAGAAACTTCAGGAACCCGAATTAAAATTACATTATTCAGTAATCAGTTATACCTGATAGACGAATGCACATGGTAGACTGCTTAAACTGATCACTGTGTAGTCAGACCTTTCTAGTAAATTAACTCCTGGTATTAGATACAATAAATTTCTGAATGGACATAATCATCGTAAGGTTTTGTCAGGTTTCTTGGTTCATATGTTTGTCTACACGTTTTCCTGCTCATAATTAAGCCCATCACAATCCCCTTGAAAATACATGTTACAGGTGAAGGTGTCATATTTTGAAAAAAAGCCAGAGAATACCAAAGAGTGAACAAAACCGCCATTCTGCTCAAAATTGATTAAACTAGGACCGAGAACGTACAAGGAAAAGATTTATATTGAAAACTTTCACAATTCTGGAAGGGTAGGCGTTTCTGCTTCATTAGTGATACCCGACATGGTTATCCAAGCCAAACCTTCTATATCATCGTATTTAAATGATTATTCAACTCTAGTAATGTCATGTCCTCAAAGATGAGAACCGGGTTTGTGATAATGAAACCAAACGGCACACAAGTTAATATAATGAAACAAAATTGACCTTCTTTTCACAAGGAAATTGAATATTTTCTAATGATATCAAGATGACACAACCTTGTGTTGTAAGTTTGTCCATCAGCAGTCGACATCTCACATGAAAATAATAATATTCGGAGCAAGCCTTAAAATGCCAGTTAAGCTGTAAATTTGGAAATAAGCTATATTTTGGATTCATCTAACGACTAAAGACAGTAATTAAAACAGTCAACTTTGGTTATAGGCTAAATTGTGGGTTACTCTAACGACTATACACACAGTAATACAGTTAACTTTGGTTTTAAGCTTAATTATGGGTTATAGAGTTCATTTTTGCAATAAGCAAAAATAGGTAATATGTTTATCTCATGACTATAGACAATAAGTCGGGAATAATATAAGTAAAGGATTTACGAAGAATTAGAACAAAGAGATTCAGGACTAAGGAAAGTGATGGGTCTATTTATAAAGGACTTGATCTTCTGGGAGGATTTTTTTTTCAATTCATTATGCCATGTAAATCTGTAAATCCCGCAAACACATATATTATTTTTCTAATTGTTGTAATGTTTGACTAAATATTAACATCATTTTTAATGATACAGGAACATGGTTGTATGTTTTAAGTATAACATGCTTTGCAATTAAAAATTTGAATCTTGCCGTCTGCCTTGAATTCAAATGACCTGTAACTTACGTTAAACGATGAGTGAACAAATGGATATAAATTATGTGCAAGAGAGGTATCATTATGTATATGTATATTCAGTAATGTGTATGACAATTGTAGCGTTTATATAGATGGAACAAGAACGCATTCCTTCTGAAATGCAATTTGCAAATGAGACTTGTACCTCAAAGGAAATGAAAATGTGTGACTCGAAAAAATATTAATGATCTGATCACTGTAGATACTGCTATTTTTAATGTTTCAAAATAATAACTTATAACAAATGGGACATTCAACATGTTATGGAATAAAAACTAGCTGTTTTGATTGTGAAACCCTGTGTGTTCGGGATATGCAAATGATTCATAAGTGAGATGTTCGGTCGAGTGTTCGGAATATGTTGAAAATGTGTGTGTACCAACAGGCCAACTTAACACTTATTCAATGAACAATGCCAATCATGTGTTTAATAAGATTATTTGAGATATCTTTTAGGTTGTATTTTTGTGAAATATCTTATATGAATTCATAAAATATCATTTAAAAATACCTTATTTGGTCATGAGATATATAATATCAAATTATCTCCTTATAAGATATCTTATATATATAATATAAAGAAATATTGTTTATTTATTATATCTTTGATATACTGTATCGTATTTCTTTTATGAGATATATTCTATAAATTTCTCTTTTAAAGTTTTAAGCTTTTAATGAACGAGATCGTCGCGTAACTTTCACGTAAACTGATTTCGTAAAACTTCTCCCGAAGGACCTGTGATTTATGAACAGTTTTGCTAAGAAGACAAAAAAATCTACTAATATTTTGGAAAAGGAAATTTGTAATATTTAGCTTTCAGGCATTTAATGTTGAACCGGAACAATTCAGTGTAAATCGTCTAAGCCTAAAAACTAGCGAGATGGTTTTGCTCTTTCTTTCTGGACATTTTCTCTCCTGAGGGTTTTGTTATTTCAGCGTCACTTCTCGTTCTTTATAAGAAATCTTGTAAACATTAGTATATATTTTGTAAAGAAACTTCCATAAGTATCAGATAATATTATACATAACTTCTTTATAAGTATACACGATACAATATATCTGATAATTAAATCATTAAAGAAATGTCATAAATTTTAACACCGGTAAGATAATGTGTACAATTTTATAAAGTACATGATTGACATTGCTTCTTAAATATATGCCAAAATGTCTTTTCTTTCATATTATTGCTGATTTCTTCAGTTTTTGATAAGGAATGACATGAAACCTACATCGCTATTAATTATAACTTCTTCATTAAGATGTGACCTCATCTCTGTGTAATTGATACACTGTTACTTTGCCATTACCATGATATTGTTTGGTGGTATTTTTTTTGCTATAAAATATAACGAAAAGAAAGTTTTATCAACAAATTTAAGTGTTTAAAATACAAAATATAAATAATTATCATTAATTTAAAAGAAAAAATAGAAAAATGAAGGGAAAACAATAAATATTTTCAAAAAGATAAACGGCAGAGTTTCATGTATGGGGTTATAGGTCTTAATTACCGAGCTGTATGCAGATAACATTGCTTAAGATACATGAACAGTGCTGATCGCTGAACGGGATGTAACTGATAAATTTCGTGTATTGTAGAGTGTCATGTGTATACGCGATATTTAGAGAAATGGATGTATTTAATAATTCTAGCATTTCTTAATTACAAATGAGAATAAAAAATTGCCAAAGTAACGACTGATCGACGGGTGATGTCAAAGTCGTCCTCAATACTCCAGGGGTTAAGCTCACTTTCGCTCTCTGCATCCTGGCATATGTCATAGCGAAATTGCAGACACGAAACCTGACCAATCGATAAGCTGATGTCTGTCCTTTGAAGATTACAGTAAAGGGACACTCGACTTCAAAGCCAGTCAATTTTACCGTTACAGGACCTACAGGACCGCAAAATTCCTTTGATGTACATCAAAGGATCAAACTAGTTTCCTGGCGCACACTCAGTCTTCGATTTTGCTATGACATATTTCAGGGGTGCAGAGAGCTAAGTAAGCGTAACCTCTAGAGTATCGAGGATGTGTCGAAGTATACATCCTCTTTCACTCTTAAGTGACCTTTTGTTGACCTTGACACTTGAAGTTTTTTACCTAGAAGGAAGCTGTATCAGTGGTTTGCTAACCAAGGATATTTAGTTTTCTGATAAACGTATTACAACAATACAGTTAGCTATCAGATCTTGTGTGAAAGGTATCTTTTTTTCCTTTTGAACCTTTGAAATAAAACATATATTGAATCTTCATGGAAAAATTATCTAACAAAAAGAGTGTTTTTTTTTATAAAGGTTAAAGAAACGTTCATTTTATACTTATTTTCATCATATTATGTCATTTGCCGACCTATAAAATTCTTTCTATGCGTAAGATATGGGTTTCTGTTTAAACCAGTAAAAAGGTCTGGACGATTTTTATAAATCTCCTATAAAACTAATATGAATATCATTTCTTTTTTATCACATTTTGAAGATTTTAAGGAATATTAACAAAAATCCTGCTTTCTTTAAACATAGTCTTCACCATCTTGAACTCGTGTGTATTATCTTCAATATGAGGTCATGTTTCCATGGCGTCATATCTATTTTTAACTTGAGGTAATACATGGTTATTCTTTGCATAACATGATGATAGTCATGGAACTGTTATAAATGTTCAAATTGACCAGATGTTTTATACACTTTAAGAATTTTATTTATTCCATGAAAGCATACATACAAGTGTATTTCATGGTAACTTATCCCGACTGTGCTAAAACACTTAATTCATTCAGAGACGTATATGCTTTATACGTCTCTGATTCATTGCATAGGGCGCAGACAAATTGATAAAGGCATGATGAATTCTATACATTTGCATATAGAATTTATTTAGTCATAACAGCTTTTAAATGTCAATTAGTCTGACATTGTACAATGTAACTATGTAACTGCCATCTCATTTATATAAACATCATGTTTACTGTGTTGTGCTTTTCACATTTACATATAGATATATAATATACATGTTTATATGTTTATGTGTGTATATTATATATGTATAAGCATCGTCAGATTTCCATATATTATTCTCAGCTTACACTTCATTGACGAGTGTAGTGAGCTATACAACTGTGTGTGTGTCCGAAGAAATGTAAGAGACAAAATGAAGGACATTTTATTTAAATTGTAAATTATGTTTATAAACATTTTCTCATATACATTGTGTGATACGGTATACTTACCGCTTTTATATGTAGAATGTCTGGTTAGTGACTTGCCCTGGTATCAGGGAATCACAGTTATGTGTAAATGCTGGGTTTGAATCATGTGAATATTTTGAATTGAGCGAGAGCTTGCTCTTTATTCACGTATTTGATTGCAATTTGTATCATTAATTTAACTGAATGTAGCCTGAATCATTTTGAGAGTCAGTCAGTTCTGATCCTAAAATAAAAACCTCACAATTATAAAGTCTTTTTGTCTTCAAACCATTTACCTATATTATGTTGTCCTTTTGTCTTCCCACTGTATGTTCTTCTGTAAGCATTACCAGAAGAAATAAGGTTCATTGGGCTAAGAACGCAATTTGATCAGCGTCATTTTGAAGCTTAACAAGAGACAAGCATTACAAGCAAACATTTTGGTGACCAAAGGCTGTTCTTGGAATTTCGTTTGCATTGATGGCACAGCCACTTCGGTATACCTATGAAGAATGTAATTATATATATATTCAACAGCATTTAGCTTATGCCATGGTGCGGCATCCGTCGTCCGGCCGGCGTCAATATTTTACTTTAAACAACTACTTCTCAATAACCAAAAGGCCTATGATGATGATATTTGGCCAGAAGCAAACTGGGATGAAGGGCTACCAAGTTTGTTAAAATAAATGACCTTCACCTATTTTCAAGGTCACAGGGGTCAAATATGTTAAAAACTTTAAACAACTTCTTCTAAATAACCAAAAATCGCAGGATGATGATATTTGGCCAGTAGCATGCTGTGATAAAGGGCTACCAAGTTTGTTCAAATGAATTAACCTTGACCAACTTTGAAGGTCACAGGGGGCAAATGTCTTAAAATCTTCATACCACTTCTTAATAGCCAAAAGGCCCAGGGTACTGATATTGGGCCTGTAGCATGCAGGGATGGATGACCTTGACCAACTCTCAAGGCAACTGGGGTCAGATGTCTTAAAATCTTCAAACGACTTCTTCTCAATAACCAAAAGGCCAAGGGTACTGATATTGGGCCTGTAGCATGCTGGGATGAAGGGCTACCAAGTTTGTTCAAATGAATGACCTTGACCCACTTTCAACCTAATGTCCTTGTTCGACATTCAAGGGCACAGGCTTCATGTTTAAATCTTTTAATAGGGTCTTGTGAATCAAACACTGATAGTCTGCCTGTAGCTGTATTTTAGTCCACTTTTAAGATTACAAGTGTGAGATTATTACCAGGTGAGCGATGCAGGCCCATTGGGCCTCTTGTTTTATATTTATGTCGGTATTGACAGGGTTTAAGCATTCTTGAATTTCAATTGAAATACATTGCCGATGTAAGTTTCGTCCTAGTAATGCTACATATCAAACGCACCTGAATTATTTGTTAACCGTTCTTCGGGAGTAGCCTTATGGTTACATGTTCGCAGCTGTCGTATTCCTGAAAACAATAGATATCTATCATTTATGGGACTAGTGAGTCATTCTGGAGGTGAAGTCATTAAACAAGAAAAAAGTCTACTGGCACGATACCATACCTGTCAACAACTATATTCTTTTAGATGTCAAGGACCATAACTTATTACATAAAACACATTAATGCACACGTGGCATATACCATATTCAGTATTATTTTAACAGTTTTCAGGACAAGCTAGATATCCTTAAAATGTTGACTGAAATAAATACGATTTTCCGTCTTCAAAATGTCGGACAATTTACTTAAACATTTTACAGAAACATTTCATTATTGCGTTCAACGGTCAAAGTATGTCAGAATACATTCTGTACTGTAGCTGGTACAAGTTACTCCGAATTCTGTTTCCAAATCTACGGACACATTAATCTCTCAAATGCAAATAATTCAATTTATTATTTCATAACTAATTAAAAAAATTGTGAAAATAAAATGGAAGTGATATCGAACATTGACATGTACACTTAATTTGTTTTATCCCTTACCAACTTACACATTGCAGTTACACAATGGCAAGGTACGTTACGTATTAATGCATGTACCACTATACTTGAACTTTTCTAAAGCTTCTCTTCTCTACCTGTTACTTTTTTAGAATTTGCCTCCCTTTGATCACCATCCGCAGAGTATCTGTTCCGTAAAATGCACAGGAATGTCTAGTGTCTGCGAAAACCATTAACCCTTTCAACACTATGTAACTTTAGTAGACTCTACCAAGCATTGATCTGGATGAGTCCATTATGGTCTACAGTGGTGAAAGGGTTAAAAGACATTAGGTTTGAAGTTTGAGAAGTTTGAAAGAGAAACGACTTGTAGAGAGAACAT